ACATTTGTCAGCTGGGAACTGCCTGTATATGATTAAGTACCAACTGAATAACATAGAGACTAAATGCTCCAGGACTGCAGAGAAAAGACAGACTACTGTGTACTGGGATGGCTGCAAAATCCTTGTGGCAAAGGTGGGTAAGATGGATTGGATTTGAATGAGGGGAATGATCTGGGCACTCCAAGAAAGAGAAACAACACAAGAAAAGACCTGGAGCCAGGAATTAATATAGTATGTTCAGGAAGAAGATCAGTTTGGCTAGAATGGAAGATTAGTGCTGGAGAATTATGGGGGAAAGATTAGACAGATAAGGTAGATGATAAAAAGCCTTGAGTGTCAAGAGCTAAGACACAAGTAGTGAGGGTTATGGATGGGGGTGAGGGTAGAATCCCCTCTAGCACAGTGCCATGTCAATCTACCAGATAACAAGCACTTACTGAGAGCATTCTATGTGCTTCGCAATATGCCAGGTATCACATGAAACTGGGTAATTGATCAATGCTTTTTAAATAATAGAGAATTTATATTGTCACTGCACAGCTATTTGAAAGGAAACTTCATCTTTTGAAAGGAAATCATCATCTTTTCTATCTAATAATTTTTTTTTTTAAGATTTTATTTATTTATTTTTTCCCCCCAAAGCCCCAGTAGATAGTTGTATGTCATAGCTGCACATCCTTCTAGTTGCTGTACGTGGGACTCGGCCTCAGGATGGACGGCGAAGTGGTGCCTCGGTGCGCGCCCGGGATCCGAACCCGGGCCACCAGCATCGGAGTGCGTGCACTTAACCACCAAGCCACAGGGCCGGCCCTATCTAATAATTTTTATTTCATTTGATTGTCTTTAGAAACTAAGTCCTTGTTTTAAAGGGAACTTGTTTTAGCAAAAACTGTAGAGCTGCCTAGACCACAAAAGGAGGATAGTCAAAGGAAACATGAATGATGGGTACATTTAATATAGCATTCAACCTTTAAAAGCAAATATGTTTGTTATTTTACAAGTCAAGTTCTGCATGGGTCTCAATAATACAAAAGAGCTTTGTATAGTACAGATCATTTATCTCACCTCTGGCCAAATGCTGACTATTTCATTTCTCTTTGCACTTAGAACACTGATATGGTGTCACCTCAGGAGAAGCCTGTATGGCATAGTACTCGTCTAAACTAATGCAGGGTTCAGACATCAGTATTTAAAATACCAACTGCATGGGCTGGCTCCATGGCTTAGCGGTTAAGTGCGCGCACTCCACTACTGGTGGCCAGGTTCAGAGCCTGGGCGCGCACCGACGCACCGCTTGTCCGGCCATGCTGAGGCGGCGTCCCACATACAGCAACTAGAAGGATGTGCAACTATG